GGGTGTACAAATGTTCGGGCCCAGGAGCAGCAGCGGTCCGAGGAGTATCATGGGCCCGAGAGCTTGATTTTGATACGGCCCACCCATTCCTCGCCAAGAGCTTTGTAAATGGGAGGCATTGGATTGCACTTGGAGATGCCTAACTACGCATACTAAATTTCATTCATTCATTTATTCATTCTTTTTATATAAAAAAAAATCAAAAAATATATATTTCACTTATTCATTCTTATTCATTTATTATATATTAGTCATATTCCATGTAATTTTATAAATTCATAATTTGAAAGGTTTGTAATTTACATCATAATATACAAAACTCAATTCTCAATTGTTTGAACAAGCAATGTTTATCTGATTCGTGTGTTGAATGTAAAGTATACAAAATAATGTACTTTCACTCTTTCAGTACTTGTACTTTCCCTGAATATAATGTACATTTTTAATATACTAAAAGTACATTATTTGATAGTATGGTCCACATAACTATGTGGACTCTTTTTTTGTTACCAATCCAAACAAATTAGAACATCACACCTTTATGACCAATTGAAGTACAAACGTAACACAACACATACACATATCATCTCAAGTGTTTCATAACAGTAGATGAAGGCTATACATTTGGGAATATTTGGATGTTATCATATTTTTTCATATAACACCCTCATATACACACATTCTTCTCACCAGTTATTTACCTACCTATTCATGGATATGGTTGAACATGATCCCAGCCAAATGCACTTCTAGCAAGCAATGGCAATCTTACTGCACTTTCAGGTTAGAAAAGTCCGGCTACAGTGACTACAGAAGTATTTGAATAATAAATCCATGGATGCTCTCTCGACCGATAGCAGCTCCCTCAAGAAGCCTACTTCACAGTTGGACCGCTTAACCACCATCTCTTTCAGTACAGGCGAAGAAACAAAGAGTGCTTTTATTAAAGCCACACCGGCTTCCTGCTTCCACTCATAATCAGGTCTCCGAGTTCTACTTGGGACCTCTCCCATATCTATTTTTGCAAATCGGAGCTGGTCGAAGCGAAAGTTTAATGTGCTGGTACTGAATAATTCTCTGGCATCAGTTATGCGCCGTTCATAATGATGAGTGGATCCTAGCTGGAGACACGAGGAATATTTATATTATTTTACACAATTTAGAGGCTACGTCAAGATGGTTTCTAAATTTGACAAAGTGGAAAGGTGTCTGATAAAACTCACTTTAATGGAAAATTCTTTCAAATATGAAGCCTTTTGCAGAAGAATATAAAGAGCTGAAAGCTGATCAGCATCATCATCCCCAATGTTGAGTAGTGCAAGAACACTTAAAGAATCACATGAAACTATGACCTTCCCCCTAATGCGACTTGCTGCCCAAATCTGTAAACAAATATGCAATCAAGTTGTGGTATAAGTTTAACACAAATGCCAGATAGCATTACTTGGTTCATCACTATCATACTTAACGTTTAAGTGGCATTATACTTCAAGGGTTCAGTTTTCTTCAAAGATTGAAGAGAAACAGTTCCACTGTTGGCACAAAAATGTACTAAGTCCTTCAACCAGTCAGACTTCTCAAAAGAGTGTGGTAACTATGGAAGGCACAATGTATAACAATGTTGCAGGAGGCGCTAGGCACTAGTCGGGCGCCCGGGGTCCTAGGTGGTCGAGTAATTCGAGTATATCGTCTCCACTTTTCCCACTAAGAGCTGTGAGTTGTTAGACTATTATAACTCCACAAACTAGTCAACTACATAGGTTAGATGGTTCGTTGGGTACATGGGAGGAATATAGAAAAGAAGCAACCAAGTAGGCAAAAAAATACCACTCGGACGAGTTGGGGCCGACTCAGCCTAGTTGGGCGCCAACTAGGTGGAGTTAGGCGCCCAACTCAGCACTTAGGGCGCCTAGGGCTGAAATTGCCTCAGCCTAGGGGCGTCTAGCGCCTATTCGGCTGCCTAGGCCGATTTTTACAACACTGATGTATAGGAGCAACCAATTCAACCATATTAAGAAGTCATAATTATCAATTACCTTGAGGATAGAACCACAAAGAGTTAGTTTTTTGAATTGTGATAGACAACCAAGAAATTGCACCAGATAGTCAGCAACCCCCTGCTCTCTCCATTCATGGCTTCCAGGTCTCAATGTCAGGTTAAAATAAGCATCTTTCAGCTGAGGACTGCTTTTGATACGAACATCCTTGAATGATCCTTCAATACGACACGATCTCAGCATATGTGCGTTGATGTTAAGGCAGTCCCATATGCGAAAATCCAACAACTTTAACTTCTCAAGAAGTGGGCACCCTTCGATCAAATTTTCAAGTACTATAGCCTCCGTGAGGAAATTCGTTAAGCAAAGACTAACCAGTTTGCTAAACCCAACGGTTTTATTCAAATGGGATGTCCTATTGAATTCGAAAGTTAATTCCTTGATACCACTTCTTCTTAAGAAGTCTAACCAACTGGTTAAATCAGCACTTTCAATCGACCCCTCTAACATGGAAAGTGTAAACTTCTCTATATGCAGATGATGAGATAATAGGACATGATAGATGACTCTCACATTTCTTTCACCAGCAAGTGTGATAGTCGAAACATTTCTCCAATTATTTCTCCACTTTTTGGACAAAACGCTCATCTTAGCAACGACATCCATCGGGAGGCGACCTAGGATGTTGTCTAGCACCTCCCATGGCAGATTGCTTATTCTATCAACTATATCCACCTGTGAAGGCTTCTCCACCAATTCATTTCCAGCCTTTATCATCTCAAGCATCAGATCGAATCGACAATCAATAGCGTTCGTGCAAAATCGAATCTGTTAGAAGCAGGATTAGAATTCAGTAACCCTAAATTCTCAGTTTTCACAGTTTCAAAGTCAAACAAAGAATGTTGCAAGCATATGATCCAAATATTGTGGATTAAGAATATGTCAATACGCTCGCTGATCGGAAACTCAGATTCATCATAAATTAAAAACCTGAGCTCGTATGCCTTCAAAAGGTAGATAAATTGCTAATTGTATTTATTCAAACCCAAAATATATAGCTGAAGAAAAGGAAACCAGTTACAACCACCTATACACACAAAATAATAGGCCAGAATAAAACTGAGCAAACACCTAAGTCTTAATACTAATAACAATTAAGGAAAGTTCACACAAATCAAACTGTAAATATGTAATTAAAAGACAATTCAGTAAGCTTCTAAACTTAATTTCGTACCCGACTAGAAGAGAAATTAGAGCGCGAACAAGACAATCAAGAGGGAGGACCGCCGGAAAAGGGTTACCCAACTACGGTGATGAACCCTAAGTGAAAGACAGTCAGAACGCCGATGAGGATCGACCGGAAACTTGGACTGAGCTAAGCCTTGCCGAGAAGGCAAACCAGGACAGACACGAATAATGTACTCCGTAGTAAAAATGAAAATCATAAATAGAGTTACAAGTTACTGCCACTTTTTTTTTTCTTCTTCTTTCTTTCTTTCTTTTGGTTAGTTTTTAAAAACATGAATATAAATCTATTACAAATGATTTCTTATAAAATTTTAATTACTTTTTTTTTATTAGGAAGGGGGAAACCCAAATATTGCAATACAAAGTCAAAGTATGTTATACATGAACCTCCAGGAGGGGAAACCAGCTAAATCATCTTCCAGAAAGCTCAATATATCTTCCGGTGGTGAATTCAAAATATGCACTCCAAGAGGAAAGTTTCTAGAGTAGAACTCGAGGCGATCCGCGACAGAATTTTGTTCTCTTGCTATTGATACGGCTTGCCATCTTTCAAGACGACGGAGTTCTTTTTTACAGGCTTCAAGGATGTTGTGAGCTGGAGTGCGAGGGGGGCTGCTCCTTTTTATGTAGTAGATGGCATTTGAAGAATCACTCTCTATGATCAGGTTGTTGCAACTCTTGGCTACTGCTAACTGGATTCTAAAAACAAAATAAGTGTCAATACAGGTTATGTCCTTGGGTTTTTGTCCGTGTTATTATTGCTGATCTGTTTGTACATTGTGTTATCAATATTGTACATAATCTTTTTAAAGACAAAAATGTCCCAGAATATTCTGTTACTGTTAAATACCATTTGCAACCACGTTTCCTCCATCTTCCCCTTTTATCGCGTAAGAATCTGAGATTTCCTCCTTCATCGCCTAATAATCTGAGACGTTTCTTCCTTCATCCTCCTTCATCGCCAAAGAATATGAGTCTCAATCTACTATCATAATCAACGGGATAAGTTTCTCCTTCACTTCCTTCATTTTCATCCTAATAGTAAGCACAAGTTCCGATCAAGGATTTAAGCAATCAAAGGGAAAAACAAGATATTCGAAGCAGAGATTGGGTAGGATTGGAGCAATTAAAGGGATTCAATGGGTTTAATTTGATCGTTGATCGCGCCTATGGTTTTTCTAATTTTACATTCTGTTTTTAGAAGTGTATAACCAGCCATGAAATCCTACCTGTTTGTTTCTCAACCGATCAACTCTTGTCTTTCTTATGAGTGCAAAGTTTCATTTTTATCTGCATGTCTGATGTATTATAATATATTTATGCTCATGGTTGAGTGATCTCTGCTTTTAGAGATATATCATGGAAGACCAAATGTATGACTTTATTCTTATTAGTTACTCGTCAATACCCAACTTGTTGGGCAAGGTTTCTTATGGTCTGCTATGTTTTTACATCCATTTTGTAAAAAGTTTCATTCTTTTTTTCCCGATGTTTTGCTGTTTGGTTGATAGGTACATTTACCTCCCACATTGGCAGGCAATATAATTCTTCTCCATCTGTAATTGTAATTGGTGGAGGTATTTCAGGCTTAGCGGTTGCACGTGTCCTCCAGAATGCATCTTTCAAGGTAGATTGAATTCATTTATGATTTATCTTATCCTCATTGGCTGGAAACTTACTTTTTTTGGACCAATTTCAATGTAACAAAGGCTATATATATGGTATTGTACTAGGTGATATTGCTGGAATCAAGAGACCGACTACTCGTTTGGTTGCCCTGTTGACATGGAAGTATTGTGGTAAGTGTTTCTATTTCAAAAGTTTTATCCAGAATGCACTTTTCTGCATTTTTACATGTAGGTTCAATGATCTTGGTTGTATAACTACTATTTGATTTAGTTAGAAACAATAAATACGGGATATTTTGTGTTCTGGTGTGTTCCTTTTTATAATTGTTGGCCACAATATTTTATTATACTATAGATCACTACCTTAAGAAAGCATATTTTGTTTAAGGCTACATGGTGTTTGTAATGAGAATCCTTTGGCTCCAATGTTAAGGCATTTGGGCCTCAACTTATATCATACTAGTGGTGACAACTCTGTACTGTATGACCATGATCTTGAGAGGTAACTTATCTTTCACCAGATCATCTAAAAATCAAGATCAATATATCATTAATGCACTATGGTATCAATGAATCACTTATGCAGTTGTGGATCATCTCAGTCGAAGTTTCATTGACATTTAATTATTATTATTATTATTATTATTATTATTATTATTATTATTTACTTTTTTGGTGATTCAGTATCAGTTTTCTTACCTGAGAAAGTACTCTTTAGTTGCTATACCTATAGGGTGGCTTAAGCGTAACAGATTGATACAGTAGCTCTCTGAGCTTAGATTTGGTTTAGGTCCGGAACAGATTCAGAGTGATTTGGTTTATAACTTAGTTTTTACCTCTTGGGTTATTTGCACCACTATTTTAGTGTGCTACACATATAATCCAATGCCTTATATATATATATATATATATATATATATATATATATATATATATATATATATATATATATATATATATATATATATATATATATATATATATATAATTATATTTGCAGTTTTATGCTCTTTGGTATTGATGGAAAGCAAGTTCCTTAATAGATAGTTATTGAAGTTGGAGATGCATTTACAAAAATTCTCAAAGAGGTATGCTTTCCTTGAATTATTATTTCTATTTTTTACTTTCATAATCTTCCATGAGCTGCTTTCTTAGATTAATTGTGATAATCTATTTTTTTGGCTCCTATACACTGAGAAAGTGAGGGATGAACATAGTCAAGACATGTCAGTTCAGCAAGCAATATCAATCGTACTGGACAAATATCCAAAACTAAGGCAAGATGGACTTGCCGACGAAATGCTGCTGTAGTGGTACATATGCAGAATGGAATCATGGTTTGCTGCAGATGCAAACTCAATATCTCTAAAGACTTGGGATCAGGCAAGTTACTGTAAATTGTTGTTTGTTTTTTATTATATTACAATATGATCATTGTATCCCAAATTGAGGTAGTTCCATAGTCTAAAAATTCATGATTAGTTGGCAGAAAGGCCAAACTTCTCTCAGCCTCAGACTATTTAAACCTATGCGTCCATAGTTGTTGAGATGTTACCCTGTTTTGTCAAATAGCCCTGACTATCATGACCACCTTTTGGTGAATACTTGAGATAAAGGAGGATGGATTTTTGCTAGGAATCAATTTGGGAGCTTGCTTATTTGCTTCTACAGTGCTGTTTTTATTTTGAGTTTTGTTTTGTTTCTTTTCCTTTATTCTTTTTAACCATTTTTTACACTTGTTTATATAACCTTCTCAAGGGGAAAAAAATCTAGAAGTGAGTGAATATTAATCCAGATTTCAGAATATTCATAATTTATACATGTATGTTTATCAAGTATAAAGTATGTCTTCTATTGCCAATGTTTATACTAGCTTTTGATTAAGTGCTTTCAAATTCCATGTGCAGAAAAGAGTATGAGATACACAATATATTTTCAATAAATATGATTAGTATTGCATGAGTGCTTATATGATAAATGGTTCATTATGTGCAGGAGAATGTACTTTCTGGTGGTCATGGACTAATGGTTCAAGGTTATTACCCTGTAATACAAGCTTTGGCTAAAATTACCCTAATTCAAAGGTCAACATTTCCTTTATGGTTTTTAGTTCAAACGCCTACATTTTAAGAGGATATTTTCGTAATTTAAACACGAAATGTATCTGTGTTTTATTTGGCTTCAGTGTGATTTTCTCGTTGGTTCCATTTCCCGCCTACGTTTGGGGTTTTGTGGCTGTGGTGGAAACCAGTAGATTGAATACATTCCGACGTGCATGTGAAATACTTTTCCTTTTTTTTTTTTCTCTCCTGTTTTGTGGTGATTTTGTTTTCACGTTTTTTGTCCTAATAATTCCCTATTTAATTGACTGCCAACTATGAGTGTATAGTGTGTTGTCCCTTCGCATCCATAATTTGGTCTCCTCCATTATTCATTACGGAGTACGCATTTCTCTTTTCTCATTGACTTTACCTTAAATTTACGCAATTCTCCTTTATTCCCGTGTGTTCGTATATTTCCACCCATCACTCTATATACGCACGTGTCACTTATGAGTGCAGGACATGTTTGTTCTTTACTTTCTTCATTGTCTTTTTTTTTTTTTCACACTAATACTGTAAATGCCAATATGTGCATACTTGAGTAAATGCATGTGTTTTTTTGTCCATGATCTAACTTGCATGTACGGCAGCCCATAAAGTAGGAAGTAAATTTAATAGCATTATGGATTCTGCAACATTAACCATCCATGGAGCATACTTTTGTAAATGCCGTTTTACTCTTCTACTTGAAAACATTTTCTCAATTATGTCAAAAATTACTTTAATTACCTTCACATACCATTATTGTCTACTTACATTGCGAATTAATTGATGGTGGTTTTGGTGCTGAAAATTAGGAGTGAAAGATAAGAAGACTATGCCTAGAAAATATAAAGAGATTGTAATTAAAAAATATCATTGCTCTTAACATAACTTTGTAGGAATATTGACAGGAGGACTAAAAAGTGTCTAAGTTTCAATACTCTAGGATTCCATCTATCAATTTTCATAATCTAGAACTAAGAATAGCAAAGTTACCAAAGACAGCAGGCTATGGGTGAAATTAGTTCAATGTGAATGTTATAAAATCACACATCTCATTGTTTGATTCAATAAAATATGACATTACTATGAATCTGTCATGATACGAGTATGGACATTGTCCTCCTAAAATATGATATAAAATAATTGAATTGAACATATGTATTTATGGTAAGTTGAAAAGACAAGAAAGGAATTTTGAAAATGAATTTATATTCTTTCATTAAATATGTTAAGTTTATTTGATGAAATATATTGTGAATTTGTTAATTTGCCAAAATTTTATTATTGGAAGATACCAATTAACACATTCTTAATTTAAATTTTATTATTGGAAGATACATGTTAACTAAATAATACAAGCAGAATATAGTTGTAATAGAACGTTCAATACCTTTACTTAAAATTACAAATTTATATATTCATCACAATGAATTTTTTTTTCTTGTGTAAATTTCAATTACATCAACAAAATAAATTTTTTTGTGAATATTTATGAAACTTCGCCAACTCAAAAAAAAAAAAAAAAAAAAAAAAACTTTACAAATGCATTTTATACATTTCAAAATGATTTATTAATCAAGTTTAATTATTGGGCACAAGTTTTCGCGCAAAGCGCGTACAAAAAACTAGTCCCTTTAATATGGCTCATGCTTCAGCTTCAAAAGGTGTGCAGTTACCTATATTGTAAACAAAGCCTTGGCACCATCTGCTTGAGCTATCCCGAATTAAGCCACGTTTAGTTTAAAGAAGTTATCCTGTGATTTTTCCCAGCATAACTGCTTCCAGGATGCTATAGTTTGTGAGTTCAGTTTCCCTGAAGATTTGGCGAACGCCTTGTCTACTTCCATAGTCTGAGCTTTGATCCATGAAATCTTAAAGCCAAGAGGTTTAACTATGTCGTTAAAAACTGCCTCATTCCGCCATTTCCAAATCCACCATAAGGTCATGGCAAATAGCGAGCTAGCGTTGAAGGGTCTTTTTTCATCCCCTTTGCTAGTTATGCCTGCTTACAACCAACTGGAGAAGGGTAGCATTCTCATCCTATCAAACGAGTCTGGGAAAATTGCTCTCCAAAGGGTTTCTGCCGCCGGACAGGATCGAAAAACGTGGTCTACATCCTCAATTGAGTCGCTGCAGTTCCAACATTTGTTGCAATCGGTAAATCCTCTTCTTCCTCTAAAGCTGTTGGTCATGATCCTTTCATGGGTTGCTAGCCATATAAAGAACGGATACGATTTGGAACCTTTAATTTCCAAATGTTGCTCCACTTAGATGCTTTGACTGAATTTGAGTCGCCATTTGCTATGTCATATGCAGAGGACACTGTGAATTTACCGGATGCCTCTTTGGCCCAAGCTATGGTGTCCTTTGCTTCCGGATCATCAATGATTATAAAAGCCGCTAGTCTACTTATAATTTCTTCGGGCAGAAGGTGGTTCAAATTGTCCCACATCCAGGGCCAAACAAGACACGTAAACATAGGACGGAGGGCGGGGGTTGTATGATATATTTTGAGATTGAATTATAAAAAAAAATTAAAAGATAATTTACTCCGTACCTTTTTATGAATATCTAATCAATGTAATATATAAGCTTATATCATGTGTCATTGTATTTAAATTATTCTAAAAAATTTTAAAATTTATTTATTTAAAAGAAAAAGTATTAAAAAAATCATATAAATAATATAGAAGATGTGTGATTTATAATATGCTTTATGTTCAAACTATTTTATCTAGATAATTATGTTTCATATCCTTTTGTATTTTTTATTGCGTTTTGAAATATTTTAATTTCTTGCTCCTAGTTAAAAAAGATTTTTAGCTTCACACGTGTTTGTAATTATTGTTTTATAAATTTTTAATAATATATAATTAATTTATTGTTTATTATGATAACACTGTTATTGTTTAAACGTTTACTCGATTTTAAATTATTTATTTATTTTTATAAACTATAATATTATTTATTTATGAAGGCACTTATACGATTATTTATTATTTTGCATTAAGGAAACTACCTAAAAATTTTTTAATGATTATTGTTGTGTATATAAAATTGTTAAAAACTTGTTAATTTTATTTAAAGTTATTGATATTAATAATTTTTTCCTTATTTAATTTAAATTTTAGGCATGAAATATATATTAACCGGGGCCTATTTTTTTTTTATCCTGCCCCAGGCCTATAAAATGATAGGACCGGCCCTGCCCACATCCAGCCAGAATCTGCTGCCCAATAGCTCGCCACCGTTCTATCTAGATCCCTTTCTGTTAGTTATTCTATAGCTACTTCCTTCAAGGTGTGTCACTGATCCATTTATCCTGCCAAAATAGAGTCCTCGCACCATTTCTCACATGCTTTCTAATACCTTCCTGTAAAATGGGTCTAGCTTTAATAATTCCTCTCCACGCACTGGAGCTGCTGGCTTTGGGGCGCCACAAGGAGCAGTCCAACGTCGAAATTGAATACTTGTCTCTGAAGATCTGGGACCATAGCTCATTGTCGTCTTGCCGAATTTTCCAACCCAACTTTGCTAAAAAGGCAAGGTTCATTGGTTCCAATTTGCGAATGCCTAAACCCCCGGAAGGTTTATTTTTTGTAACTGTGTTCCATTTGACTAGATGACACCTTCTTTCGCCCTCTTTGCTTCCCCAAAGGAAGTCTCTGATTAGTTTCTCTATCGATAAGAAAGGTTGGGAGCACTGCATTGCATAGAACGGGATGGATGAAAGCACGGATTGTGCAAGAACTTGTCTGCCTGCAAAGGATATTGTTTTTGATTTCCATCCGGCTAGCCTCATTTGCATCTTCTCGATCAGGCTTGTAAAGGTTTCGCTCTTGAGCCTCCCGTGTAAGGATGGGAGGCCTAGATATTTGCCGAGGTCGGTCACCTTAGGGACGTTCACAGCTTGAATGATTGCATGCTGAACATCTAGAAGTGTGTTGCCTGAGAAAAAAACACTGGATTTCTGGAAGTTCATCTTCTGCCCGGAAACTGTGCAGAAACGCTCCAGGAAATTCCTCATCTCCATAGCTTGTTCCAATGAAGCTTCTCCAAACAACACTAGGTTATCTGTAAAAAAGATGTGAGAAATTAGTGGAGCATTCGTTACGACTTTAATACCTTTCCATTTACCAGTCCTGACCGAATCCTCAATAATGTGGCTTAATCTTTCCATACATAAGACGAAGAGAATAGAAGATAAAGGGTCTCCTTGTCTGACTCCTTTCCCAGGTTTGAACCATTCTATTTGCTGACTGTTCCACAAGACTGACAGCCTCGAAGTTGAGATGCATTCCCAAATATTCCTTCTCCAAGCATGATTGAAACCAATGTCCTTAAGAGTATCATCTATGAACCTCCAAGAAAACCTATCGTATGCTTTTTCTAAATCAATTTTCATAATGAACCAGCCTGACTTCCCTTTCTTGTTCCTCATCGAATGTAATACTTCTCGATAGACGAGGATATTCTCTGTTATGGACCTCCCTGGGACGAAGCTTGTTTGGTGCGGCCCAACCAATTTTATCAATATGTTCCGAAGCCTAGCTACTAGGCATTTGGTGATCAGTTTAATTTATAATTTTAATTACTTTAATGATGATAATACTTACTCCGTATTAGTTATACTAAAATAAAATTATAAATTAATTTTTATAATAGTTAAAGATTAATAATAATTTAAATAAAATATGTAAATAAATAATTTTTAACTTTAAACTTATTATAGTAAAACAATAAATACATAAATTGATAAATATAATAATGTTGAACTAACTAAATTGAATGAAAGTTTTACTTAAAAATAATTCTGTAGATGGATTCGCACGATTTTTATTGTTTGTTTTGTAATTAAATCAATCGTTGATAAATTTAATAACTTTAAATTAAAGAAGTTGACAAAAATTAATTTGATTTTTTTGGGTCATGGATCTGACAATGATTTTTTTTTTTTTTTTTTTTTTGTTTGGTCTGACCTAATCCGGTCTATATTTTTAATGGCTATTGATAAATATAATAAGTTTAAATTTAAAAAAAAAAAACTTTTAAAAATTGTTTATTTTAACTAAAATAAATGGTTTCATATTGGACCATGATATGCCGTACAAAAGTTAATTACCGACTTGGTTCCTTGACTATGAGGATTTTACCACTTTGGTCCTCGACTTTCAAAATTGACCAATTTAGTCCCTCAACTATGCTAACCGTTAACCGATTTGGTCCTCAGTCTACTTAACCTTCAAAATGCAAGGGTAATTTAGGAACTTCAAATAATTCTCATCTTCCTTGACATTCATAATTTCTCTTCCAATATTTCTTAGTCTAGAAGCTTTTCCAAATTTAGGAATCCATTCCCAATTCTCCAATTGCTGCCAACTCAATTTTTTTCCCTTCCAATGCGACGCATGCCGTCAGGTTTTCTGTGTAGACCACAGATCATATAAATCCAACCGCTACCCAAAATCATACTGCCATAGTCGGAAGGTGGTGGTGTGCGATGCATGTTCCATGTCGATCAAGACCACCGGCTGCGGCGGCGAAGACCACAAGGCCATATTGCAGAGGCAGCAGAAATTAGGGCATTGTGATCCCACGAAGAAGAAGAAGAAGAAACCCACGTGCCCCGTGAGGCGGTGCAAGGAACCTTTAACCTTCTCAAATACCACCGTCTGCAAGGGCTTCCAGATTCCGGTATGCTTAAAGCACCGTTTTCCGGCGGATCACGCTTGCAAAGGCAGAGCCGCCACTTCATCTCCGCCGCAGTCGTCGGTCAGGGGCGCCACCAAGTTTCAGTGAGGTGATCCAGATTGACGGAAGCGAATCAGAGAAGATCATTGCAGCAAAACCTAAAAATTGTCGTCATCTTCCTTCTCCTCGTATTCAACACACTCGCATACTACAAGCCCCTGCGGTTATTAGCTCTGAAGATGTAGTGTTTGCGATTAGGGTTTACGAATTTGGGGGTTTTCTCTACTTTGTAATCTAAAACCGTCGAAATGGGAAGGAAATACACAATGAAGAAGGTTAAAAGAATGAAATTACATTTTTATCCTCAGTTTTAACGTCTCACAAACGGTTGTTACGACTTAGGACCAAATCAGTGATAAATAACATAGTTGAGGATGCAATTGGTCAATTTTGAAAGTCGAGGACCAAAGTGGTGAACTCCTCATAGTCGAGGGACCAAATCGATAATTAACTCTGCAGTACAACAATTGTTAGACTATTGGTTTGATCTTATATTTTTATCGTTTGGTCCAGCTCGATTAGATGACTAATATTTTAACTTAATTATGCTATTCTAGTTCAAATAATAACTATATTGGTGGTTGCCAAACTCATCCACTTGATATCGCTAAATGAGAGAGAGAGGTGAAGAGAGAACTATGTGAGGTATATGAACTTATTAAATGTTTTTCGAGTAAAAATCTTTGAATACATTTCTCCCAAAAATGAGGGGGGTTTTCTTTTCATTTGACGAAAATGAATAATTTTAAATTTATACTTTGAATAAATTTTGTATTGACAATTTGCAACATGACTCATTACACAATATAAATTTGGATAAGAAAATTAACAAGTTAATATTTAGTTTTAACATGGCCCAAGTCATTAACAAATAAACTCAGAACTTGTTAAGTTTTGTGTTAACTCGCTCTGCTTAACTTGTTAATATAAACACATGTTATAGTTTTAGATATTATTTTACCATTTTATGAATATATGATGGTATGTTTTGAATGTAATATATTTAATGTTTTATCAAGTTATTGTGTCATGTAGTATTGTATGGACTCAACACTTGTTAACAAAATGTGTTTATTTTATCAACCCATTTAACCAGTTTAAAAAGTTGTGTTCGTGTTTATAATCTTAAAGAATCGTGTCCCTATTTAGCTTAATTGTATCGTGTCAACTCGTTAATAAATCTCGTTTATATGAATTGTGAGTTCTAGATGAAAGAGAATTGATGAAAGAGAATTTTAAAACATGTACCAAGCACTTTGTGCTCAGATAACATATAATGACTTCTTTTATGTGGGAGGTCATGGGAGGTCATAAGATCGAGCCTAATGGAGGTGTGTTAACTCTTTGTGCTTCATTAGGTTGATACAGAGTCGGTAACATTAAAAAAATATATATATGAAAAGTATAATATTAATCATATAGAATTTAATCTATTAAAATATAAGATCAAAATTAAAATATTCGGAAAATAAAATTGGAAATTAAATATGAAAATGCCACCTTATTACTACTGTTTTATGCCCATAATCACCACTAATTTTGATATTTGTTTTAATTTATAAAATTCATTCATAATTTCAGATCCCTCTGAAAAATCCCCAATTCCACAGTCTCTTGCAAGCATTGCGCGCACAAACACTCTCAAATTAGGGTTTTTGCAAACCTAATTGTGTGTGCATATATACATATGTAATATTTAATGTATATAAAATAAGAGAATATTATTGAATAGGTTTTGGAAATTGGATGGAGCTGAAGTTTAATTGGCAACATGAGGGAGGAAACAGCGAGATCATGAGGAGTTAGAGCGAGTAGAGATGGGCGTGGCCAAGGCATGGAGGTGTGGCGGTGGCGCGTTGAGTAATGTTGCTGCTGTGGCCGCGGTGCAAAATCGGCAGAAGCACCATTTATTCGTCCTCTGTGCGTCTTCGTCTAGGCGGCCGATCTCGTGGACGGCCATCTGCGGGGTGATGCTCTTCGCCTTGGGGTTGATTTCGCTCTTCACTGGCCATGTCGCGTCTAATCTCGAGTGGTACTCTCAGCACTCTTGGTTCTTCAGACGGGTAATCTACGCAGCACTCTCTTATTTGTCGTTTCTGAGTGCCTATGGAGGTTTTAGTCTTGTTCCTTTGCAGAAATTTGAAATATGTCAGACCAGGCAAACTATGGAGTTCGAGCTGAGTTATTTGTTTTGCATTGTGGATTTGAGGGGTTGGATTTTCATTTGTGTTATGAAAATGCTAAGCATTTGTCCAAGATGATGTTTGGTCTCATTTCCTTTGGCCTCCAGATATGGGGAGAACCTATAGCTATACTTCAGCTTAAGTGCATTCATTTTTGCAATGTGGCTTTGTCATTTGTGCACATCTTTTCATTTTTGAACCACCCATATAATTTCAATGTGTGGAAATTATTGCTGTTTTAATATATTAATATTGATATTGATTTTTCATTTAATATTGTTTTAATTATGGAGCTCTAAATTTCAACATTGTTGATAAATTAACAATAAATTCCAGTGAAGCAAAGTTTCTATGCTCAAAACTAGCATGTGCATTCAAAATTCTTGATCTTCTTTGTGACCCAGAGTACATATTTTATGTCCTTCAAAAACTCCAACTATGTTTTTTGTTGATATTATGTAGGACAGGAGTATTCGTGCACCGATTGATATTTGGAAATCAAAATATTCTAAATTTTACTATGGATGCAGTGAAAGAGGCCATCTTTTTGGGGGTAAGTTGTCTATGTGACTACACTTGCATGGTGTCCTTGGATGTGAGAGATAGAACCATTCATGTTTTTAGCCATAATCACTCTTATATTTTGATACTAAGGAGTATCATTTTGTTTGTTGAATAACTGAAACTAAGTGTTTGACACATAAGCCCAATTCTAACATCTATTACAAACTATGGAGATTGGGTCTTTACTTGTTTGATTTTTAAATGATTTAGAAAAAGGCAATAAGTTTTTCTATGATTGAGGTAGTTGATGGAAACATTTTAAATTCTACTCTGAACTTTTATAAGTGGCATTGAATGGTATATCATATCTTAAATGCTAAATGGTTGAATCTTTCTACTGAAAGTGATTTGAAAAAGATAATGGTTTTTTTTTTTTCTTGTTTAATTGTATAAGCATGCATTTTGAGCTTGTATATTTTTCTACTGAAAATTTCCCTTCATTCATTTTGCAGTATAGTTAAATAATATGAAATTTTTAAAGTAGTTGTTGGGCTTGAATTGTCATCTCAGTAGAATTATCAATTACTGTATTACTTATATAGCTGCCATTTTATTGAAAATTTTTATACTCATCTCTAAATTTGTTCTTAGTTCTCCTATTCTGCTTTGGCAAATTGTCTCTTTTCTTTTTTAAAGTTATATAATGATTTTACCCTGTTAAGTCAATAATTTGTGGCTATAGTTTTACTTTTGGCCAGAATATTGTCCCTAACGATTAGCAATGCAAAACTTTGAACTGTAGGCTCTGTTAGTGAGCGATCATCAAATGGATATTTACTTATTGCAACTAGTGGAGGGCTCAACCAGCAAAGAACTGGAGTACGCATATTCATTCATCTTCATTTTTGTTGGAATAAATATGTCCTAGGATGTTCAAACTACTCTTTTCCTAAGTTGTTCATTAACTCCAACTGTTGAATTTAATTTTGTTTTACAGATAACAGATGCAGTGGTAGTTGCAAGAATTCTTAATGCAACTTTAGTTGTACCTGAGTTGGATCATCATTCATTTTGGAAGGATGATAGGTTAGTCCAGATTGTGCTGTTTTACTTGGAGAAATGCATTGCAACGCTTGTGATGATTTGAAGCAAGTTTTCTGCATATTCTTATATATTTTTTAAACAAACCTGAAACGCAGTGATTTTCTCAACATATTCGACGTGAATTGGTTTATCAATTACCTTGCCAAAGATGTAACTATTGTCAAAAGAGTCCCAGAGAGGGTTATGAGATCAATGGAAAAACCCCCATATACAATGCGTGTTCCTAGAAAGTCAGAGCCAGAATATTATTTGGACCAAGTATTGCCAATACTCATAAGAAGACGTGTAAGTGACAAACTTGTCACTGCTTTTGGTGATTTTATTTTATTTATTCCTGATATGAACTACAAATGCTTTGTTATGCATGGGAAAGAATAATTTTGTCTGTATGCACACAGTATTTTTCTTGTTTAACTTGGTGACCAAGGTATTTCTTACCAAGGAGCATCTGGTTTTTTGAAAACTATAGCTCATGGAAATGATGTTTTCCTTGTGTGTCTGTTTAATAATGCTATTAAGTTGTAGATGAACTGAGATTCATCAAGTTTTGTCATCTGTGTATCTGCTTGCTATTTTATGGTTCTTAATGTCTCTTTTGTGTGCTGGTTCTAAAAGACCGGTATGATGACTTGGACTTTAAAATTTTCCATGAGCTTGTCAGCTTGTGTAGGCTATCAGAGTAGAGCAAAACTTTTTGCATCAGTTATTGACTTATTTCACTAGGATCTGCTTTGACTTTAAATGAAAATTTATATAACTATTTTAACAAGCCAACCTAACACTATTGTCTTCTGTGAAACCATAGGAAAATATTGAAAGACTTGAATGGTGGATTGAGTTTCATGGTAATTTTATGCTAAAATAAAGCCTCAAAATTGATGATTGCAGGTTCTTCAGCTGACAAAGTTTGATTATCGGCTTACAAATGAACTTGATGAAGAGCTACAAAGGTTGCGTTGCCGAGTAAACTATCATGCTTTAAGATTTACCAAACCCATTAGAAGTATGGGTCAAAAACTTGTGATGCGTATGCGGAAGATGGAAAAACGTTTTATTGCTGTTCATTTGAGGTTTGCTACACTTTTTGTTTTGAATGATGCAACTATTTGCTTAAGTTTGCCCTGTGAGTCTCAGTAGAGCAACTACTTCTAAGTTGAAACTAAACTTCTTAATGATTTATTTTTCAGTTCCATGAAAATTACTTAATTTATTGATAGCTGACATCTAAACCTTTCTCCTTGGTTCGCTGTTAATCATTTGAATTTGATAATGATTGAACCATTTCTCCAATGGAAATTTAGAACAGTCAATACTGCATTATGCTTTCACATCTGGTAGTATTATTACACTTTTATGATAGATGGAAGGAGAATCTTATAGGCTCATCTAAGTTACACAAAATAAGGAAATTGGATTTGGAATCTGCTTTAGTAAATTAGAGTATGGTTTGTTTGAAATTGTCTTCCTACATCAACTCACAAGCATCACCTTTGGCCCTTGTATTTGATGTCCATTTCTCTGAAATGTCACAGGTTTGAACCTGATATGCTGGCATTTTCTGGATGCTACTATGGTGGGGGAGATCAAGAAAGATATGAACTAGGAGAGATAAGGAAACGATGGGACACATTACCTGTAAGATTATAAGCCTAAAAAGAATTCTTGGTTTAGATTGTTCATTTCAATAGACGTGCTAATTGTAGTGCATTAAATAAGTTTTATTTGCATGCCAAGTTAAATTTTGGATAGTACTTACAAAATCTCTCAGCTTCTCTAACTTTTAGGAACATGTCAAATCTAAAAGGTAAAATATCTTGCCAAGCTTCTGAACTGTGATAAGCCCCTGTCAAGCAACACCTGTTGAAATATGGCTACTTGTGCTATCTGTACACTATAGGTCTATAGTTTAAGCAGCAGTTGAGAGTCTGTCTGCACTAATTAATAAAGCATGTCTATAACATTAAAATATTTTCTTCTCCCAAGTTACTTAAACTGGACATCTGAGTCTATTTTTGTACAGGAAATAAGCCCTGATGAAGAGAGGCTGCGAGGGAAGTGCCCTCTTACACCCCATGAAGTAGGTCTGATGCTGCGAGCACTGGGATTCAAAAATGACACGTACCTTTATGTTGCATCTGGGGAAATTTATGGCGGAGAAAAGACACTGCAGCCCCTAAGAGAACTGTTTCCAAACTTTTATTCTAAGGAGATGCTTGCTGGAGAAGAAGAACTCAAACCTTTCCTTCCATATTCTTCCCGCATGGCTGCAATTGACTACATTGTTTGTGAGGAAAGTGATGTCTTTGTCACCAACAATAATGGAAACATGGCAAAGATCCTTGCTGGTCGAAGGTAACAATTGCTTGACTGTTCGTAAATTGGATGTTCCTTTTAGTTTTTTCATTATGAATGAGATTTTATCCAAGTTCTTCAATGTTGATATTCCCTAGTCCCTACTGCTAAGGTGTCCTGAGCAGGCCCTAACTGTAGGAGGCACCTTTAAGCCCGTACCATACTCAGACTAATCCCATTCGCACTGGGCCGGCCCAATTAAGGGGCAAAGTGCTAGCCAGATTGGTTTTTGCATACGAGAGGGGGTTCGAACTCCCGACCTCTCTTAAGGGATGAGAGTGCACGGCCACTCACGCCAACCATGCTGGTCAACAAGTTGGTTCTTTGAGTCTCAGATATTTTTCGTTTTAGTCATTTCAAACTGCACTTTTCTTCTGAACTGACCTTAGAAATGAAAAATAGAATACTTGGGGAATCAACACTGATCTGATGAAGTGACTGATTCTTTTTTGTCATAAAATGCCACTATAAGCACTTCAGAATGGGGGTTTAGAGGTTAAGAATAAAGAGATATTCAAGGCTTTGGCCTTTTGCATGATAACTATAGTCTGGATTCTTGTTCAAGAACAATAAAGATAAATACTGTTTATAACTATGTAGTCTACGTGTCATTTGGGTCTCTGTTGATAGCCTGCTAAACTAATTTTCTTTTGAACAATTGAACTGATGCTCAAGGCGGTACATGGGGCACAAGAGAACCATCCGACCAAATGCTAAAAGACTTAGTGCTCTATTCATGAAACGAGAGAAGATGGATTGGGATGCATTTGCTACAAAGGTTAAATCATACCAAAGAGGATTCATGGGAGAACCAGACGAGATGAGACCAGGGCGTGGTGAGTTCCATGAATATCCAGCCTCGTGCATCTGCCAGAAACCATTCAGATATTCCCATGCTCAGAATTCTAGTTATGAATACAGTAGCGACGACCTCAGCGTGAGGAACTCGCAGAAACTCAGTAATGGAAACTCGAGAGAAAATCCAGCCTCTGTATTCGATGAGAGTGACCACGTTAATCCCTTGTCTGACTGACTAAGGAGGAAACTACAAAACATTGTTTGGCTTTGCCAAAGTGCTGCATATGTGTTTCTAAACTGCTGCTTGGAGTGCCAACTGATCCTCCGAGTCGTCAAAGTTTAGCCTACTTCTCAGTTGTCTGCTACCATTATATATTATTGCTGGATCTGTACATAGCAAGATTCTAACTACTGATGGATGATCAGCTGCAATTGTTCGTAAATATATACTCCCATCCTTTTTGTAACATACGCTGGCGCGGTAGGAAGCTACGGTTCATTAATGGTGCTCCAAGTTGGCTATTGGCTATGCAAGTTGATTCCTCTATATATATATATATATATATATATATATATATATATATATATATATATATATATATAGTGAGAGAGAGAGAGAGAAAGGGAGAGCAGCATTGGGCCATTGGCTTATGCAAGTTGATTATTACTTTCTGACTTCATCTTGTAAGACACCCTTTGGCATTTCAGAATGTTAATTACAGCAGAAGTGTGGAACTATACATTTTACCCATTTTATCATATGTGGTGGTTCTATGATCGTTCTTATCACCCTTTGGTTTATTTTTGTTTTGTTTTTTTTTTTTAAAAAAAAAAAATGGGGGCTAGGCGTGAATAAACTACAAAGCGGGATGAGTTGGAGATTTCTTGGCAAGCTAGCCCGTTTTGGCAATACTTAATAAGGATGACAATTTACCCTGTTAATGAGTTAGATGAAAAAGATTTTTGAGATTCGTCGGAGATACGGACATGGATACTCATCCTCGCCCTACCCATAATTATTATAATTAAAAAAATCATATATATATAGAATTCTATAGATGATATTAATTGAGAGATTAAAAACAAGCATGTACATACTACATATTATGAAATGCTCATATTAAGCATGCCACTATAGAGACACATCATAATGCCTAATATGCACATGGGCGTTTTAATATCCAATTAAGTCTATTTTTTAATGAATAAGAATGATCCTCAGATTTATGAGGATACTAGTTCTCATAAAAACCTCATATATATAGTCGGCTACGGTGGTCCTGTGATCCTTCTTTTGTATTAATATTAATATTATTATAACACTTGCTGCTCAGATTTGAGACATACAAGCAGCAGCAAGCATTCATAAAAAACAAATAAATGGAGATTGCAAACTGCTGATTAAAACATTTCCCAAATCTTTAGGAGAAAATTTTTCTAGAGTGTTGTTGCATACATCTTGAGTCAACACCTTCTAATAATTCTTAGGGCATCCCATCAATGCATTTTGAGTAGATTTTTAAAAAGGTCAAACTTAGATGGAGGAGAAAGATAGAGGAGAGAGAAGATACTTGGTCTTAGCTGAAAAACCAAAGTTTTTGTAAGATCTGTGTGCCACAAAAAAAAAAAAAAAAAAAAAACACTGGCGTAAATCTCGCACCCAACCGGGCGCGCCAATCTTTTCTCTCTTTTTTTTTTTTTCAAAATTTGTTTTTGTTTTTTCCTTTTTTCTTCCCTTTCATCTTTTTCCTAATCACACCTGCAAAAACTACAACTATTGAAAATGCTCTTATCCAATTTCAAGAGACTAGAATATAAAAACCATTTGAAACAGATTCCTGAAGCATTTATCCAACTACTTGGAGAAGTTCCATATACAGCCCTAAAATAGTAAGATAAGACGAGCCATTGCATAATGATTTTGTAAACATCTATTATGAACACCTACTGCCTAAATTTTACAACACCTAAAGCACAAAAGAACAAAAAAAATAAAATAAGTTAACTTTTTCCATCTCCAATTTTCACCTCAAGGCAAATATACAAAACTATGCGTCCTGATCGTTGTAGACGATAGAGGTTCTATGGACGCATGGGATTATTATTCCAAAAGCGCTTATTATCCATGGCTATTACCTGTTACAAAAGTGCATTCTGGAATTAAACTTCTTAAATTCAGTTTCTTCCACCCTCTTTTGGTTGGGGAGAAGCAAAGGAAAGTATGAAACCAACGCTTGAGAGGAGAATGCTCGGAAAATAATAAATGTAAAATCCAAACATACCTTTCGATGTGCCCCTGTGATGGCTTCTGTGACCTTTGTCATGGGACAGAGATGGGAATTTTGGGATGATTAGTGAGCTCTGCAAACCTTCCAGTAACTGTAAGCCACAATGCATCCCACGAGAGTTCAGTTAGCCAGAAGGTTTTTACACAATGGACAATATGTAAACTGACATATAGCATTAGAATGATGAAGACCAACTGGGCAACTCAAAGGTTCAAACTAACAGAAACTGAAGGGCCAAGGGCCAGAAAATAGGTTAAAAGTTTCAAGAAAACTAGTAGATCTAGAACCAGTAAAGATTCTAATGGGTTCAAGAGGTTTTCTTTTTTTATTCTCATGTTTCAATATTGTTTTTGGATGCTTTCTAATACCCTAAACATTTGTCCTATTTCCCTATTCCTTTTTCCTTCACTCATCTCTTGCTTGTCCAAGAACACACAAACTCTATCATTTCCATCTAGTTTTTTTTTTACCAATTACTAAAACGCTACCCATTTTATTTCATTTTTACCACCTACACAAGCTTCAAGATTCAGCCAATCAAAAAACAAGTTAGGAAGATCCAAGACCTACCCTTGATGTCGGCTGAATCCTACGATTTGACCTCCGGGGTTCTGTGACTTCAGGAATTGACTTGTCCACCTCAACTTTTGTTGATTTCCCACTGGCAGGAGCAACATTTCCTGCGTTTACCTTCTCAGATTTGTTTGTCGATGTTGATACCTTCTTAGTGGACTCAGCTTGAAGATCCTCGGAAGAAAATTGCATGTGTCCTTCAGCTGCTTCTTCGACATTGGAATTGCATTTGACAAAATCCGATTGAGCTGATTCGTTCTTGTCATAGCTCATAGTATCCTTGACCACATGGTCAGTTGAAGTAGCATCACCAGAAGCTGATGGATTTGATGTCAAAGAGTTATCTTTAGATGTCCGGCTTGAACTGGGTGGTTTCCTAGATTTAGGTGGTCTGGATTTAAATTCAGCTACTTCCTTCTCCTTAGGATTGGTTTTAGAATTATTTTTCCATCCACCAACTCCTGAACCTTGTGGCATCACATATTTTGCAAGTTTCGCTGAATCATTAGCTGTGGTGTCCTTCATGCCCCAGCTGGAAACATAATGCTTGCTTACATCCATAAACTTCCTCTTCTTTCCGGGCTTAGGCACGCCAAAAACAACTTTGGATCCTTCTTTCTGTAAACCAGACCTCATTGTTCTGACCGTGCTGGGCTTATTCTCATCTTTGTTGCTACCAACATTAAATATTTTTTCATTATCAGATAAAGGGAGCAACTTTGGTTCTTTGTTTGTCCCAGGTTCTGGCAAATCAATATTTTTTGAGAGCTTGGCCTTTCCGCTGGTCTCACCAGCAGGATTTCCCAACTTCATTCTCTTCTCCTTTGGGGTATCACCCTGCAAGGCATATTAACAATCAAGTCAATCTGGAAAAGACGCTTTTTGGGTTGTAAACTACGTTACAGCATCCATGTGCATGCATACCTGAAAAGCAGGCTCGTTTCTTGAAGTGGACCATTCAACCCACTCCCCATCCTTCCAAATAAGGGTTGGACGGAGGTTCCATGCTCTTACAACTGCAGTATCACCCCGAGCTGCAAACAAGTCCAAAAGAAAACCATCACATGACCAATTGTAACTAAAGTTTAACTGGAAATGGGAAAATATAATTTAACATACCTGGAAAATTAACACTCAATATTGTTTCGTCCTTTTTGTTCTTTTCAGTAATAATCCCTTCTCTCCAGCTTAAACAACATACATAAGTAGAAAGAGTACAAGTTATTCACAATGAATTGAAATCAATTAAGACATCTATGGCACCTATCTGGAAATAATTTTTAGGCAGGTCACACTTAAAATTGCAGAAAGTTCAGACTTTATATGCAAAGCATCCACGCTATGCAGGGTATGTGGATGGAATATGCACAGAACCATGCCTTTGTCTAAGAATCAAGCAGTCATGGCAAAGATATTTCATGACCGATGTCATATCTTTTTATCATATGGAACACAAGTTTTCAGTCTACATCAGAAGACCTAAACTATTCAGTCAACACATACATAAAATACTAGAGAACCTGAGGTGGACAAACTATCATTTTCATCAGGAAGAACTACTATTTCTTTTGGCATCTTCTGCAAGAATAATTTTGATTCAATCAGGAGGAAACGAGGAAACAAACACATCCTTCAGAAATTATTTTACTATGGCTTTAACTACAAGTACGCTGCTTCTAAACCATGAGTGAGCTATGGAAGTATAGCATCAACATGGTCTCAACAGAAAGGTGTGACAGTCTGGGAGGGGGGGTAGATCCAACTCGAACTGTTCTTGGGTATGTGCGCTTTGAGGTGAGGCACGTGTGGATCTCTACTAAAAGTAATTAAATTCAAAATAACCTTTTTCTCATGTGTTACTCCATAATTTAGTAGAATAAAATTTCTATTGGTTTTATTTTATACATAAAAAAGCACTTATCAATTATAGCAATAAGAAATTGTTTAATAGATGGACATAAAAAATTGTTCAATATTGCATTCTTACATCAACTGAACTTCATAAATCCCAAAGCTGACAATTTGAAGAAAATGATAAGATTTGAAGTTGGGAAACGTTAAATACGATAAGTGCACTTACCAATTGTCCATCCAAGCATCAACTCGATCACCGACAGACCAAGTATAGTCCTTCATAGCTGCTCGTCGCCTCTTTCGGGCTCCCTCAAGGTGAACAGCAGTCATAGGATGGCTGATACGTATGCTAGGTACATCCTCACCATCTAAACGTAAAGGTATCCACTCCTTTAACTGTCCTGACCCTGAAAGGAGAGGAGAGAACAGATTTAATTATTTAAACAACACAATATTGCAAAATGTCTTTTAATGCCAAAGTCAAAACCTTAACAATAGCATCAACAGGCTAAAACTCAAATCTTTAAAAATATAAGTTCTCATGTGTTGGCCATCAAGAACTACAACAGTGAGTTATTTCTGAAGGCTAATGCATTGCATGAAATGCAAAAGTGGATGTGGGAAAGTGCACTCGTAAATCTAGTTACAAGGCATCAGACTGGCAGTTATATGTAAAATTGGAGATCATATCAGCATCAGCACCAGATTCCACTGCATTTATCAAACTTAGAAGTGATTCCATATATTAATATAC